GCGGCGGGCCCGGGTGCGGGCTGGGTCTGCGGCACCCCACACGCCTCCCGGGAGCTCCCGAAGGCAGGGGCAGCCCGTCGTTGCTCCCTACGAGCGAGCACCAGCATGTAAGCGGCACAAGCTTTAGTCTAAGTATCAAAACAGAACAATAAAATATTCCTGCAGCCAGAGATACGGGAGGTGGGGAGGAGCGGAAGGAAAATGGCCCAGAAGCTTTTTTCCCTTTTTAAAAATAAACACAAATTTTTGCGCTTTTATCACTGAAAATGAGATGACTTTCAAGTATGCATCAGGTGATACTGGGAAATTTAATTTTTAGGAGTACTTTAAAGTTGGATATTGAATTACTAAGTTTGAACATTTTTTTTTTTTAATTACAGAAAGTACCTTCAGTATAATGTTGAAATATCTTTGTAATTAAAGCATTACGTTTTGAATTTTTTTCCTGCCCTACACTATAAGGCTGGACACAAGCCAACATGGGAGGCACAGGTCACAATATACAGAAATCATAAACCAGACCTGGCTGCTGAGAAAACGGCCATACTGAGGCTAACTCTCGACTTTTTATTAGGGACTCAGTGAATTTCTTTCAGCCTGCAAATGTTTCTAACCCCAGAGATGAGAGAAACAATTGGGGGAAAGAAGGGTTTCAGCTTTCATTTGTAAGATCTTGTTATCTAATAGTGGATGGGGGAGGGAGAAGATGGGGCAAATGTGAGATGTTACAGCAGTTAAATGTGAGGTTTTGGTTTAGTGTAGTTTCACTGGATTTTTTTTTTCCATTGAAAAGTTTTCCTTTGATTATATGCTTCTATCATTAGAATAGGGTATGTAATCTGTGGGATGTAACTGGTTTTTATGTTGGCAAATTAAATTTTTATTAAATCCAGGTGCTGTTTCTTACTGGTGAAGCCCTGGCTTCTCATGTTCTATAGCTTATGTATGTACAAACTTTTTATTTCTCTGGATGATTATGCCAACTGTAGCTGACGCTGCTTTTCATGTGAGAACGTGGGATGTAATTGGAATAGTCAAGCATGGTGAAACCTGTAGCAGTGCATATGCTTGAGGGATAAGTTTACCTTTTGTTAGTGGATGCCTTGATAATAGTTGACACAAACTAATTAAAATGAAACGGTAGCATACTGAACTTTCTACTAAGGAAATACCTATTTTTAATTATTGTGTATAAATAAATTCTGAAGCCATAAAAAGTAGATGGCAATTCTCTATGTGCTTATTAGTGTTTCAGTTCTGCCCTTCAGTAAAGTGAGAAACTTTGAAGGAAATGGAGTAATTTAATAAGAGAAGCTTGTTAGAAGTATGTTCTGCTGGTCTCTTAAATGTTTTAAAACTCTATGCTTTTTTCCATTGTATTTCCTGCTATCAGTGTTAAGGTGCATAGGAAAGAACATCTTCAGTGTGGAAAAGTCTTTCCTGAAGCACAAGAAACTAGAAGCTGGAAAAAAACAGTGGTCTTTGCCAAAACCCTGAGTCTAGCTCTGAACTATACCCTGTGTGTATACTTCAAGGAGTCTCCTATTCATGGCACATTTTGATTGCAACAGCAAGTGTTGGTTGCAACAGCAAAAGCAAGATTGACTGCTGTATTTGTCTCAGCACTGTCAGAGGAAAGATGCATTCCTCTCTGTCCCTTGCTCTTTTTCCCAAGACAGCTTTGAACTCTGCCTTTCACATCTGGGAGGAGTGGGGAACATGAGAGATGAGAAAAGAGGAAGGATAATATGCCTCTGTAATGTCTTGTGCTACCAGTTCAGGTACTGAGCACAGCTGAGGCTTTCTTTAAGAAATACTGAACTTACTGATTTGATGTGTTAAGAACTAAAAAAGGCTTTATCTTTGGAGAGCAAATCAAGGTCTTACCTACATTTGAAAATTATTAGGGATTTCTTATCTATAGAATTTCTTTTCCTTGGACCTCCTCTTGTTATTACTAGAGTTACCATGTAGTTATAGTACATGTATTAACTAATACATGTAATATAATGTGTAAACGAGCCTGTTAGTTGACTTTCTTACACTCCATTTATATATTACAAAATGACGAATAATGGTTAGACTTAAATGCTAAATAGAGCTTATTTCTCAGAGCTTTTTGTCAAATGTTATGATCAAAGAAATGCTTGCATGATAAAATTATTTTTGATGCTTTTGTTTCCATTTTTCTTTAATTTATAATTTTTGTGCTGTGATTGAAGTCTAAGCACCACTGTACAGTCAGTTACAGAACAGTCATGCTCTGTTAGTGTCATTATGAGTCTACAAAGTGCAGTTGAGAAGGTGTTGCAAATACAAGATTAATAACCAGGATTTAGTCACTTCATACAAGATCTCTCTAGGATGACTCCAGGTCTGGTTCCTGGAATGTTGGTTTCATTCCATGTGTGAATGTAGAGTCCCTAGAAAAATCTGAATAGCAGAAGGATGATTGTGTCTGCTGATAAGCAAGTATCTTCTTAATGAGAAAGTGGTTAGGGATTAAAACCTAAAGCAGTATCTGTGGGCAATATTAAATTGATAAAGAGCTGATTAGGCACTACAGTAGTTACATACTGTACTGTGGGATAATGACATGTTTGTATTTATATGAAGAAAACTAGATACTTTAATTTTTGTAGAAGTTAACATTTCTATAAAATAAACTGTTGCCTCTTCCACTTAAATTTGGCTTTTGCTCTAACTCCAGGTTTTAAATCAGGTGGCTAAACTCAACTTAGTGATTAACATTTTATTTTTTCTCTCCCCACTTCTCCATTTGTGTCGACAGTATGTTTTTTACCTTCATTTTAATTGACTGTGGTAATGCAGTTGCAGTGAAGACATCTGTTATCTTACTGATATTTGAAACAACTGATTTTTTCGTACCTGTAGAAGTTTGTAAAACTATTTCAGGAACTCTGAGCAGAATAAAGTTCTTGATTGGTAGAAATTTTAAACATGAGTTACTTTTTTTTTTTTTTCCCCTGGTGCTTGAAAGCCTGAGAAATATCAACCACCCTGTCTTTCATTGCTATTTTTCTATTAGCTGTTTTTTGAAATTTTTTTTTTACAGTGGACCAACTACATTCATGGGTGGCAAGATCGATGGGTAGTTCTGAAAAGCAATGCACTCAGTTATTACAAGTCTGAAGATGAAACGGAATATGGCTGCAGAGGTTCTATCTGTCTGAGCAAGGCTGTGATTACAGTAAGTGTTATTTTGTTATTGTTATCTTTTCGTGTTTTGAGGTGTTATGTGTTTGTTGGCTGCGGTGGGCGGAGGAAGCAAGCAGCCGATTCAATGTGAATGATAGAGCAAGCTTCAAGTTTATTGAGAGAAATCACACCTTATATAAGCAGTCTACAATACACTACTTGCAACTCTATTGGATACATTCAAGAAACTACATTATAATGTCTCAGCCATTGGGTACATTCAAAAGATCACATTATAATACACCAGCCCCTTGTGGCATTTCTGGTATGCATAAACATCTTTCTTGCTGTGAACCTGCTTCTCTCCCAGGGCTGCTTCTCTTCACCCCCCAAGGTCGTAGTGCGCCCCCAACTTATCTCTGTGTTCTCACAACAATCCTCACTGGCACAACTGAGCCCTGGGTCTCCATCCTTGTTTACATAACTGTACCCTGGGTTCTTTCCTTTGTTTACCTCAGGTGGCTGGGACTGACTTCTGCAGGGAGCTATGGCCGACCAGCTCCTGCAGGGAGCTATGGCCTTGCTCTCTGCAAGCCGTTCTCCAACAGTTGGCTAATGTCTGGTGAAAGCAAACATGGGTATGGGAAATTCTATTAGGTCATCTATTACAAAAGTTAGTGGTATCAGTGGAACGCTGTGGAGCAGGGCAAGGAGTTCCTAATAAGAAAATGAGCTGTTCTTATTCGTGGCTACAGTAAGCAGCTTTTCATCTTTTAGGTTAGAGATTTCTGGAGGTAGGTATACAGTTTGTCTCTGCACACTGCAGTTTTTCCAGGCGTCAGTCTGGGATCCCAGAGCAACTTTGCAAAGGAGATACCATCCGTCACAGTCTGTATACCTTGCACTAGAGAGAGAGGGTAGTAGTTCTTTGACTGTACTTTCTGAACATGACTCTGTTCATGCTTCTTCCTCTGAACAAGTTAGTATGTTGCTGTTTAATGCTAAAAGATCTCACATTATACTGGTAAGAATAAAGAGCCTATATATAAATGAAATTTCATAAAGATGAATTGGCCTTAGAAGATAAAGAAAAAAATCTGCTTTTTGTGGCTTTCAGAATTATGATACATATTAATTATGACTAATGCTTGTGAAAAGCATGCTGTAGCTTTTCTTTGTTACTGTTAAATAGTCCAGTTATGTGATTTAGGGAAAAGATAGCTGTATTTGTGTAGCACACAGGTTCCTGGAGTAGTAGTGTTAAATTTTGCTATTGATACTCTTATTTCACTGAATGTGGATTTTTGAACTGAATTAAAGATGACAAATCAGAAGCTTTTTTTCTCACTTACAAATAGAGTATTATTAAACACATCTTGTTTTTTAAAAAAAAGACTGGATTGATTACATCAGCTGTATGTGTTTTGGAAAAAAGCTGTGAACATGTTTTTACATTCAGATTTCTGACAGGTGTGGCAGTCATCAAAAAATTAAAACAGATCACCTCATTTATTTTAAAAACATTTTTTAACCTGCTTTTAAAACTTGCTCAAGATTTGACTTACTTGAAAAATGCTTAGGGAGATGTCATCCTTTGGTAAATTTTAAGAATGCTTAAACTCACTCATGTATGAACTTTGTATTTTTTGTCACTAGAGGTGACTACCTATACAGAAAGAGTTCCAAAAGTTTACCTTCCAATTTAACCTTCAGTTTCTCTTCAGAGAGGGTTCATACTTGCCATGTTAAGTTCTAATCCAGTGACTGGTCTTGATCTTCCTTTATATATTACTGATGTAGAAAAACTTGATTTCTACTTTGCTAGTTAAACAAGACACAATAACTGTGATGCAGTGGTTTTCCTTATTTTTCATTATACTGTGATGATGCATACTCATGTCAAAATCTTAATGGAAATTTTTTTTTTTTTTTTTTTTTTTAGAATGCTTTGCTTTTATTGTGTTGTAAAGAGATGTTTAGACAGTTCTGTGGAAATGTCTGGACCAGGATTGAGCAATAAATTCAGTTTGCATAATGGAGTTATTTTCAGTAAACTAGTTTTGTTTTTTTTCCCAGAAACAGTAATTAGAAAGCACTGTTACTTAATGAAGGTAGTAATGATGTTTTATATTAATATACAAGTTGCAAGCCATTCGTGTTCACAATGGACTTCTGAAAGGGTGGATTTCTTGAGTATCTGTTGTGAATATCTGGAAAACTCAGGACAGGCAAGGAGATAGAAAACTGAAGTCTGCTTGAGAGAGAGCTTAGTGTCAGCTTTTTTTTTCTAAATAACAATAAATTGCTATTGTGTAGAACTTAATAAATATTTGTTATATGTTAGGGCTGATATAAACACATGTCTTTGTTCCAGTTTACAAAAAGAACAAGAGAAATATATGAAAGAGCTAAACTGTCAGTTTCCAATTTTTTCTCATTTCCTTACATATAGTCTGAAGAAAGAGTGAGATGGTTCTTTCCAGTAATCACCCACTAATAATAAAAAACTGAGCCCACATTTTAAAGATAGTTAGTTGAACCAGCTGCCTTTCCTCAATTTAGCGGTATTTCTGGTTTATAGTATGACACTAGCCACCATTAATAATTGGACATTTGCAAGAGGAAGTACAGATTGACAGTTTTACAAATAGATTATTAAATTAATGGAGGATTCTTCATGCATTTGTCAATTTAAACAGATACAGAGACTTCTTCTAAGAGCTTTTTTTCACAAAAGCTCTAAACTCTACAAATATTTAAGTTTTGAATAAAGATATGCATCTTTAATTGAAAGAAATGTCAGTGCTAGACAAATATTCTTAGTAGTATTGTTTAAAGCACTTTTAGCGTAATGAATCATGTCTTGCAAAATAGATGTTCAAAAAATTACCTTGATATTAACAGTACGTTGGCATGTTTCTTTCAAGTTTTATACAATGTGGAATGTAACAGTGTTTCTGAAGCAGTTGTAGAGTGTAGAAGTGGACCCACTTGGAGGACTAATGTGAACTTTGATCTTGTTAACAGACCTGCTTATAATAAAAGAATGATGTAATTGCAGCTTTTATCTACTGATATGTTTGGTACAGTCTGTTACTAGTTTAAGTTGAAAGGGAACTGATAACTTTTAGTTGGTGAAAACTTTTATTAAGAAAGCTAAGCTATAAATCCATGCCCTGGGCAGAAATACCATAGCAGTAAATTTGTAATAATTGCTAATTGCACGGGAAAATATAGTTTCCAACTGTCTGAGGTTGGAAAACAATGTGTTTTAGTATGAAGTGATGAGCATTTAATGAAATAATTAATTTTCTTTAATTTGATAAAGTGCTGAGGAAGCACAGCTGTAATTGCTGCTAAAACGATGACCTGAGTAAACTAATAAGACATGGAATACAAGCCCCAACTAGATAGGGACTTATTTAGGACTCATGGCAATTAGTTTTAGGCTTTGGTGTGTGCCTTAAATAATCAAGTAGCTAAATCCAGACTGGTGGAGGATCTTGGCTAAATGCGGGAGAAATCTGAATGAATATTCTAGTCAGAGACAAGTGTGGTCAGGAATGCTTACTCATATGTGAAAGGCCTGAGGTGGTTGTAGATTGTGTTCTGGAGAGGAAAATGAAAAGGTGACAGTAAGGGAGAGGAGTTGATGCCTAGGAGATGACACTGGGCTGGTGCAGCAGGCAGAAGTATTTTGGAACACAAGATTCTCCTGTACAGTTGTTTTTAGTATTCACATCCTCTGCAAATTTGTGTATGTCTTTGAGTTATGTGAACAAGCCATAGATGGGTTGGTGCTCAAAGTGAAAACGTCAGAACATTGCCCTGTATTTATCAAAGTGCTATAGAGTGCTGATATCCTTGGCAACTGGAAAACAATTATTTGGCAGGGTGGAGAAATGGAAGATTTCTTCCTTAGTGTATGTATTGAGGAAATTAAGTCAGAAGTGGAAAAATATGCATGTGCATCAGCTCAGGTGAGACTGTTCTTCCTATTATGATAAAGAATACCATAATGGTTAGGATGTGAAAAAAATCAGTAATGTGTATTAACCAAATATTTTAGGATTACTTAATATTGCTGAAGAATTCATCTTTAGTACTTGAATATAATCACGTGTTACCACACACTTGAAATCGGGGCTGTAATCCAACAGTGCTTCTGTCAATTTTTTTATTATCAATTAGAATATCATTCCCCTACTTGACTTTTTTTATTAAGATAATTAAGTATTAACAGTGAGCATGATTCAACATCCACTTCAGGATCATAGTTCCTGTTCATGTTTTATGTTGGAACATTTTCATGCTGTGGAACATTTCTTATGGATGCTATACTAAGCCTTAAATAACTCCAGTGTTTGCATTTGCTGTTGAAGCTATGATTTTATACCTCAGCAAACTTTTCTGTGGTATTTGCAATCCTTATTCTTGCTCAATCTGGTTTTCTATGCATCGTCATAAGATTGATGTATAGTTAATTTATTGTTCATATCACCCCCCCCTCTGGGGTTGTAGTGTTGCTCAACAGTCCTGCTAGGCAACCTGCTGTTGATTATCTGGTTTGTCTTGTGATAGCCATTAATGACATTTTTGATGTCTCTGTTGAGGATTTGTACAATACCAGACCTTACTTTCTGATACGCATGCCTAGAATGCCAAGTAGAAAGGTCAGAATACTAATATGCAGCTGCACCAGGCCATCTACTGTTCTGCTGTCTCCTGAAGTGCTAACTTTATAGACTTTCACTTCTGTTCATACTCTTAGTACTTCACAGATGACTACTTGAGTGTTGTCTCTGCTTCTCCCAGTTCATCTTTTTGCCTCCTGTAGGCATACACTTCAGTTGCTGCTTTTGCCATGTTCCTTATGAATTTTAATTAGTGTGGATTAGATCAAATATTCTGGCCAATTTCAGCCACTTCTGAGTCTGTTTGGTTTGTCTTTCCACTCAATTGCAGTCCACCATTCCTCAGTTTAAGAGGGCCAGTTGGAATGGAATTTTTTGCCCCATGTCTCCAGGCACTTAACCCAGATTGTATTGACTA